GCTGCATGTCATGCTACTGCACAGTCAAGGCCAGTTATAGCTGCATGTCATGCCACTGCACAGTCAAGGCCAGTTATAGCTGCATGAAAAATGTCCGACGCATTACCAATACCAACAACAATTGAGTTCTCACAGCGACTACAAACCAGCCACAACCCTCTGCCAAGACATGTAACTGCCGTAACGCCGCACAGTGCCCCCTTGATGGTGATTGCCCGTCGAGATCAATAGGGTACCAGGCAACAGTAAATGACGACAGAGAGTACACCGGACTCACCGAGCCTCCCTTCAAGGACCGGTGAAAGCGCTTCCGCCACGAACGGCATCAGAACAAGACTGAACTGTCAAATCATGTGTGGAACCTGAAGCGTGCGGGGACGCCATTCTCTCTCGGTGGCATGTTCACACAAGAACACAGGCGTATTCTAACAAGTCGAAAAGGTGCAACCTTTGCAGAATCGAGAAGCGTACTATTAACAGTGCCAAGAACCCGAAGAGTCTAAACAAAAGAAGTAAACTGGTGTCAAAATGCCGCCATGAAAACAAATATTACATTTAAAACACGTCACACCTGGCGTGACATAGTGAAACAAGTAGTCGCCAGTCGCAGTTGCCGCGCAAGGACAGTACCCGGCACAGTCATGACTGGTTTGGCATACATCAGTGCTAACATTATACTTATCCCTCACATCATCCACAACGTCTGTGTGATAATGGCGTTCATTCATGAATCGCGTAGAGCAATGTCAATTTAACTTAAGCACCAAGTATCACGCATGATTGTATTCATGATCATTAGTCTCAGGTTTTAGTATCAGTCGTCTGATGATTGCAGTATCATGGAATTTTGAGATACGACAAATCCACTGGACCTCTTTCTCCCTTTTTGTTTCTATCTATTTATCTATCTGTGTCTATCTCTCTGTCAATTTATCTATCTATCTATCTACCTACGAGCCTCTCAATCCATCCATCCATCCACCCACCCTTCCATCCATCCACCCATCTACCCTTCCATCCATCCATCCATCCACCCATCCACCCATCCGTCCATCCGTCCACCCATCCATCCATCCATCCACCCACCCATCCATCCATCCATCCATCCACCCATCTATCCACCCATCCACCCACCCATCCATCCATCCATCCATCCATCCATCCATCCATCCATCCACCCATCCATCCACCCATCCATCCACCCATCCATCCATCCATCCACCCATCCATCCATCCACCCATCCATCCACCCATCCATTCACCCATCCACCCTTCCATCCATCCACCCTTCCATCCATCCACCCTTCCATCCATCCACCCTTCCATCCATCCATCCATCCATCCACCCATCTATTCACCCATCTATTCACCCATCCATCCACCCACCCATCCATCCATCCATCCACCCACCCATCCATCCATCCACCCACACATCCATCCATCCATCCATCCATCCATCCACCCATCCATCCACCCATCCATCCACCCATCCATCCACCCATCCACCCATCCATCCATCCATCCATCCATCCATCCATCCATCCATCCACCCTTCCATCCATCCATCCACCGTCCATCCACCCATCTGTTCACCCACCCATCCACCCACCCATCCATCCATCCACCCATCCACCCACCCATCCATCCATCCATCCATCCATCCACCCACCCATCCATCCATCCAACTATCGCTTTATGCATCTATTTCTTTATGTATGTCTCTCTCTCTCTCTCTCTCTCTCTCTCTCTCTCTCTCTCTCTCTCTCTCTCTCTCTCTCTCTCTCTCTCTCTCTCTCTCTCTCTCTCTCCTTTGCCTATGCGGATAACAGAGCCGATGGTGTCCTCAAACGAGGTGGTGGAACTGCTGGCCGGGGTGGCAACGTATACGGCACCAAGGAGTTGACTACTCTGCTCCTAGGCAGCGGTGGAGGCAGCGGAGGCAATGACAATGCGCTCAACGACAACCCAAGGGGAGGCTATGGTGGCCGCGGCGGCGGAGCCATTCGTCTGGACGCCCGCGAGCGACTGGTCATCAAGGGCAACGTGAATGCACAAGGTCAACCAGGCCAGGGTGACAGCCAATCCAGGTAAGCTGACACGCTGGGAAGTTCCCATCACATTTTTTCAAGCTGTATTTGTGTACTGCTAGAGTTTTGCAATTGTATAAAATTTTGCATTCGTTCAACATTTCCTGGCTCGTCAAACGAATGCCAATTATGAATAAAAAAATGTGAAACGAGGGGTGATGGTCAAGCACGGCTAACTATCCAAACGGGACAAAAAATGTAGAAGGTACGTATTTGGATTTCGAGAATAGAAAATAATCCGAGGTTAAGTTAAAAGATGTCTTGTGTCAGTACTTTCAAGGGGTATTGTCTTTGGCCTACTCAATGTAACCTTAGACTGATCCCTGTTTATATTTGATCTTTTCTTAAATGCTTTAAGTCCTGTAAACAATGTTTGTGCGAATTGAATGCGGCATCATCACAATCTGACAGGGGTACTCAAGGCCTGAATACTGTGTTAACGTGCATGATTTATGGAGTCCATGACCGTAACATTTGGTGCAGCATAGGTGCCCAAGCCGAGCTAAGGGTATTATGGTTCACACAATACTCAATACTCAACAGAGAACATTCATGGTAATCACTTTCAGAACGAAACAAGAAGAAGAACGACAACCGAAGACCAAGCACAGAAACTATGCATGCACGCACTGTACGCAGCATGTCGAAGTCAATAAAATAATAATGACTTCCAAAGTACAGATACCACAAAGGGAACCTATGCAATGTACTTGTAGTTATGTAATGGATGGTGTTGCAGCCCGACACACGAGCTAGAATGAAACAGCGGGGTGGAGATGTATGATGCAGTTGATCAGCCATCTAGACAGCTTGCTGGTGCTGTCAGTTTTGTGCACCTCACACCATTTATACCATTGCTGTTCAGGGCCGGATTCGGAGATCTCTATTTAGGCGGTTTAACCATAATTCAATAGCAGGGATGAATTTTCTGTCATTTTTTTGCATAGCAGTTTTCGCGACGCAAACGCCAAAATGCGTAGCAGTCCTTGATTTTTGATTAGCACTTTTTCTTCCACGAAGACCGACTAAAATTTCTCAGTCCACGGAGGGAGGACTCGTGCTGTCTGCATAGCTGGCAGAAAATTAGCGTCACCGCTGCACCTGTAGCTTTCTCAGAACCAAGCCATTTCTTCTGGACATCGACCTCTGCCACCCACTTCTCAAAGGTACCCTGTCGTACAGACATGTTGGAGGCAGAACCAAACTAGACAAAAACTACAGCTTGGGCAATTGTCAGAGAGAAGGACGAACGTGATTCCAAAAGTTCCTCACGACCAGAAAGACCGACTGGCTACAAGCAGAAAGCTATAATATCACGAAAAGAGGTAAGTGAACCAGAAAGAAGAAAACAAACAACAAGACCTCCGCCGGGATCGTGGAGGAAAGATGATGCTTGTCAGTACGGAAAGTACATGTACATGAACTGAACTTACTTACTGAATGAAACTTGAAAGCCGCGCAAAGTGGTACGTGTACTACGGTGTAGTTCAAGTAGGACACCAGTACAGTCAGTATCTGCACGCGGAGCCCAGCCAGAGTTCACAGGTACATGACTTGTACTAGAAATCACACCTTCCCGAGAAAAAAGCGGGGTCCGTGCACTGTACAGGTGTAGTGAGTGTACGACATAGTCACAGCATCACTTTTACTGACTGCGCGAGCTAGTATGCAGTGCCGTTTATGCATCGCAGTTTCCTGCGAGTCGCTGTGATTTTTGAGTCGCACTCGATCGATTTTGAATCGCAAACTGCGATGCGATACCGGATAAATTCATCCCTGAATAGCCAAAAATATGTGTATAGAATCAGAATAAAAGGGGGTTTGTCGACTGACAACTGCTTTTTTTAGTTGCTATTCACTCTTTAGATGAAAATTCTTTTATTAATGTCGAAAAAATATTGACGTTTCGGGCCAGTCACCCATCGTCAGAACAATGTACAAGAACATGAACAACAGTCAACAGTGCAGCATCAATGTACTGCATGTATAGTAGATCTAACGTTACAAGTCATGTACTTCTGAAGTACCACAGTACATTTTAATTTACTTATTTATTTATTTCTGCACCTTGTGGCATGTCAAGACAGCCAATTGAGTTGAGGAGAGGGTGTTTTTTTGTGCAGACATGAAATTCTCGATTTTTCTCGGGAGTACATTTTGCAAAAATTTAGGAGGTTCCGTGTAACCCCCGGAACTCCTTCCGGTTTTTATCTGGCGTTGTCTCCATGACTCCTCTAACATCAGCATGTTGTTCGCTAACTTTTTCAGCCGCAGTAATTCCACTCAAACTCGTGGTGGGCACAGCAATTTACTGATTGTCCCAGCCAGCCCAACTGCATATCTTGCCAAACGTGTTACCTATGCTGGGACCATCTTATGGAACCAGCTCCCCGCTGCGGTCAGGCAAGAAAGAAAACGCAATCGCTTTAAGTCAATGGCTCTTGCCTTTTTGCTTACCAGATAAATAAGCCTTTTTACAAATACTGTATGCACTGCTCTTTGCGTTATTTCCTCCCTACGCAAGTCGCAACTCCTGTTTTGAGTTGTTTTTCTTCTCTCTTATTCTTTCCCTACTAGTTGCTGTTACACTCACTGATCCGCTAGGCTTATGCACAGATATACAGCATTCCCTCACTAGTGGGACCATTGTTATTAGGCTAGGGCCTGTTTTGGACTTCCCACTCTAAATAAAGAATACAAACAAACAAACAACTCCCCCCCCCACCTGGATCCGCCACTGCTGTTGTTGTGTGCCTCCAGCATTGTATATCATTACTATTGTCGCCCTGATTGTTGTGTTTGGCCAGGTGCAACACCTGTCCGTCAAGGGGTGGTGGAGCTACACAGTGTACGTGGGGATGCAGCGGCAGACAGACCAAAGCCTGCTGGGACTGGTCGGGCCCTGGAGGCGGCGGCAGCGGTGGCAGCATCTACCTGCGCGGCGAGACTGTGCACGTTGGCGACTGGAAGGTGAACGCCAAGGGAGGCCGCGGTGGGTATGGCGCCCGGCAGTGCGGCGGCGACGGTGGCGACGGACGTATCCGCATTGACTACGCCTATCTGCAAGGAATGACCTCACCGACGCCATACGTATACAAGCATGTTGAGCAGTTCAAGGTGCGTCCCACATGGTGTCAGTGCTGAGCGGCAAACGTACTGTAAAACCGGCAATTTTCGGTGGTGCAATATTTTCAGTATTTCCCAAAATCAACGGTTCGGTAGCGCAAACATTTCGGTAAACCAGTTTTCCGTATTGCAGTCGGCATGCATGCACATTATATTATCAGTGCTTTTTTTTAGGTAAAAGTTACCTGGATTAAAGTTACCGAAAATAAAACTCCACCGAAATTTTCCGGTTTTACAGTAGCCTGTGCTTGCAGCTCATACTTGCTAGTTAGTCACATGTATGTTCCGGTTGTTGATACTGTGCAAATCTCAGAAGTCTTCCTTTCACCAGAGTTCATAAAGCCATGCGTATATGGTACTACGCAGCCATGTTTCTTGTTAGATTCTGTATTAAGTTGGACATGGTGTACCGCGTTAAAAAGAGGCAAAATGCAGGCTTATCCGATAGGTAGAGGCTCTCCCCCCCCCCTTCCCTCCCCCCTTCCCCCTTCCCTCCCCCTTCCCCCTTCCCTCCCCCTCACTTGCCCCCTTCCCCCCCCCCCCTCCTCCTCCCCCTCCCTGTCTGGCCAATAGGATAGATGCTAGTAGGCAAGACAGGACAGAGCTGTCTATACACAGGACTGAGGTTTCTCTCACAGGCATGGACGTGGGAAATCCGTTGCTTGCAGTAACACAATATTGCAAAGTAGTCTAGTGAGACTGGATGTCGTTCCTGGGGGGGTACCGGGGTGATATCACCAAGCACTGGATGAGTTTGTTTGCAGTGTAGATGACAGCTGCACTGAAATCACGCGCCTTGATGCGTTTGCACTGCCTGAACAGAACCTGGCTCTCAGCGCTATCGGAACGTCTGGAAAGCAGGTGTTTGTCTACCGTGGATGCTACGAAGATTCTTCCACTCGTCTTCTGCCATACGCAGCCAACAAAGGTGGAAGCAGTGCTGCTGGGCGTACCATGACACCAGCCCTCTGCATCAACTTGTGCAAGTACGTAGAATGTCAATAACCGCGATGGTCTCGGCTAACGTTGGCCATTCCTAATGCCGCATCCTTAGCCTGCTATACAGGCATCTGGATGTGTTACCCCCTCCCCCCCCCCTTGCATTTTACCATAGTATACCTGTCTCTGTATTGAAAACCTGGCCAAATTTCTAACTCCCTATTCTTTGGCTTTTCTAGCCTCAAATGTGGCAATGAAGAATTGCATGGGTCACCCAATACAAGATGATGCACTGTTGTTTTCACTCCACTGCACCTGCTAGTATGCGTACGAGACGCCAAAAATTTGGAGTCCAGTTTTTCCGATGAATATCCAACCGTAGGCACTGATAGAGGCGAAATCCTGATCTGGGACTAGCTGACCAAGTGCATTACCGCATGACTTTCTGCTTCTGCCTGCTCTCTGCCCCAGGGCTCAGGGATACAAGTTCGCCGGCATCCAGAATCACTATGAGTGCTTCTGTGGCAACAACGTCGATGCCTTCCCAAGAAAAGCCGACGGGTAAGTGTAGACATGTAGGATTGCCGCCATGCTGAAATTCTGCTGGTGATTCGAGATGAGGGCTGAACTTGATTTATAGACTAGGACACAACCATACTTTTAAAGTATATTATATCGCATGGTTGCGAGGGCCTTATGGCATATTATTACCCCGAGAGATTAGCTCGAGGGCTGTAGGCCCGGGCTAACCTCGAGGGGCAATAATATTAGGGGTGAAGCGATTATGCCGAATACTTGAAATAGAAATCGTTACAAGCTAACGAATCGATTATTCGAAAAGTTTCGATTACTCGATTATGCATACAGTATACAATACACGTGTGCCTGGTCGACTGTAGATCGACCGGCGATGTGCGAGAAACAAATTCTTCCCCTCAGGATCAATTTTCAAATTCTAAATATTTGCATTGTTTGGCTTCCAATACTGCTTTCATCAGTGGAAGAAATAATCGAAAAATAACCGATAACTAGGCCCCGGCAGATAATGCTAGCATTATATTGAGCATAATTAGCACTTTCTGGAGACTGTGCTAGCATACGGTAATCCGGCAAATTTTGCCGAAAACTAGCATACTCTTGCGACAACTAGCATATTCGGAAAGTAGTGGACATCGTGCAACTGCATTGTAAATAAAAGGGGGTTTGTCAACTGACATCCGCTCTATTTAGTTGCAATTCACTCTTGGCGCATGCGCTGGATGAAATTCTTTTATTAGTGATGTCGAAAAAATTATTGACGTTTCGGGCCATCGTCAGAACCTGACGCATCATCAGTGCTATTTTGGAGCAGAATGCGAGCATATTCGAAAGCAGAATCCATCAAATTCTCGAGCATTATCCGCCGGGGCCTACCGATAACCGATTGATAACCATCACTGAAATAAACCATTTTTTGCGGGAAAATATACTTTTTTGTAGGCAATATCGCATAATATTAGCTGTGATTCCGTTACAACGGCGAGAACAATGCTTCTAAAAGAAGTTGTACAGTCCTAGAATTTTGTTGATGTGGGGAATTTTTGTTTTGGGTGGGCTAGGAGCATGGAGAAGAAGGTCTATGATGGTGTATTAAAAATTGATCGAGTCTGTGTGTGCTATTGATTGGAAAAATGGCGGAACACTCCCACGCGGCCTGGGCTTGAGGATTCCTGAACGCCTCTTGCCGAATTGCTTCACATTGTGATCCTGCCGTTGAAAGCCCTGTCTTACCACCCTTCATCTCATTCTGACTAGTGGCAGGCTTACAGCGAACCAGGAGATGTATAAATAAATTTGATTGTGTGGCCAGCTTTCTGTGATAGTACGGCATGGTACATGTACGGGATAGCGCACCGGGCATGGCGCATCACGTGATGCTGGCCCTACCACACACACACACACACACACACACACACACACACACACACACACACACACACACACACACACACACACACACACACACACACACACACACACACACACACACACACACACACACACACACACACACACACACACACACACACACACACACACACACACACACACACACACACACACACACACACACACACACACACACACACACACACACACACACACACACACACACACACACACACACACACACACACACACACACACACACACACACACACACACACACACACACACACACACACACACACACACACACACACACACACACACACACACACACACACACACACACACACACACACACACACACACACACACACACACACACACACACACACACACACACACACACACACACACACACACACACACACACACACACACACACACACACACACACACACACACACACACACACACACACACGCACACGCTGACATACGAAACAAAGCGGTGTGGACCCTGGCTAGCGCCTGGCGCTACTAAAGTAGCGTACTGTGCATAGCTTCGGGAACAAACACCTGTTGTTGTTGACATACTGTCTAGCTCCTAACTGAGGACTTCTCAATTCAGACGCGATACCATGAACGTAGGTGGGTAGTCAATTTTCTGCAGCATGCAGTGATTAGCACAGATTTCAGAATGGACGTGTTTTTCAATCCTCTTTGTTATCTCAGCGACTGCAACCGCAAGTGCAACGGCGATGCCGACCAGATCTGCGGAGGAGGCTGGAGAATGTCCGTGTACGGACCAGTGCCCGACAGCACCGCTCACGTTGCCTGGAACGCCAGCCAGCAGTGCACGCCATGGTGCCGTGTGGGCTGGCTGGCCAAGACTAGCTCAGCGGCTGGTCGTGTAAGTTACACCGCTGTCAATGTGTCTGCACTCTTGAGCATCCGTTTTGGGTATTATTGTTCGTGGGGACGAAAAACGGCCGGCACAAATTCGCTTTGCTGGACATTGCACTCTTACGTTCTTCGGCAAAAGGTGTTGTACCTTTTTCGTCAGGGAACGAATATTATTAGGTTGAAGGAATCGGAGAAATATCAGTGAACAATATTGAAGAGAAAAGGACCTATAAGTTAAGAGGGATGACTAAATTTAATAGCTTGCATGCCGTCCTACCGGTCGGATCACAGGCCCTACCGGTAGGACCCAAGAAATTGCGCTGCAAAGGTGCTTTTGGTTGAGAATTTTCTTGTAACAATTGTTAGAGATGAGGTCATTGTAAGGCAAAGTAATAGCACAAAATTTAAGACTATGTCAAGTGCATTGCGTATTTGCAATTTTACCATTTGTCTAAATGGCTGCACAACTCTGTCCAAAGCGAATTTTGACCATGGCACATCGGTCTTGGTGAGGACCTAATGTCTTTCTTAGCCTGCCACGGCAGTGGACTGCGAAATTCCGTACTCCGTTTCCATGGTTGCCATGGGCTGTTGCAGTGGAATTTCACAATATGCCTTGTGCAATCACATCTAAATTTTTGTGAACTCCTTCATTAGCCCCTTGGTAACAGTTTAGGGTGAAGTTTTAGGTCAATATTAGAAGAAAGGCCGTGCAGCATGTCTGTGTATGATGGTCCCACCGGTAGGACCAAGGCCTATGCAAGGTATCACTAACACTACACTCCACCAAAGTGACGGGATGGTGTACAGTCAGATAGTGCAACAACAAGGCACAAAACTGACAGGGATATTGCGACATTCGACGACCTGACACCCAGCTAGCCTGATCCTTCCAAGCCGGAAGGTTGTTGGCTTGCGCTTCGTAGATGTGTTGGAGCTAGGTGTCAGGTCGTCGAATGTCTCAATATCCCTGTCAGTTGTGTGCCTTGTTGTCGCACTATCTGACAGTATATCATCTCGTTACCTTGGTGGAGTGCTAGTCATAACTCGTGACTAACTTATAGGTCCTTTTCTCTTTACATATTACTATTGGCTCTACATCCGAGTTATATTACTAGTAAACAATAGTGAAGGTATCTTTTGAACTGCAGTTTTGTGCGCTTTGCTGCTCTTCTTTGTTGACGTTGGAAGTTGTGTGGAATTTCTGAAGTTGTCTGACGTTCTGCCATATTACACTCTCGTGTTTTTTTCAACAGCCGCTTTATGGCTACTGCAGTGGGCTCAAGTCGATTGTTTCCTTCAACATCCAATGCGACTGCCCGGCTGGAAAGATTGGTCCCAAGTGCGAGAACGATTGTCCGCCGAACAAATACGGAAAGAACTGCGCTTCAACTTGCAAGTGAGTGCCCGTTAATACATAATTAATGAAATGAAACGGTACTTGGTGTGATTGTAGGAACATGGAAGGAAGTGAACTGTGTATGAACTGTAGGCTTTATACTTAGGCTACAGATTCACACAGTCACTCCCCTCCCCCCCCCCTCATCCCTCTCACGCACTCACTCCCCCCCCCCCCACACCCCACTCTCTCTCTCTCTCTCTCTCTCTCTCTCTCTCTCTCTCTCTCTCTCTCTCTCTCTCTCTCTCTCTCTCTCTCTCTCTCTCTCTCTCTCTCTCTCTCTCTCTCGTTCACGATTTTTTGCTACGATGTAGTCTGCTAGTCGTCCTCCATTCTTGTCTGCTGTAATCTTAAATGTATTGTATTGCTGCCTACCCGTGTGGTGACACCAGGTGCAAGAACAAGGCCACCTGCGACATTGCCACTGGAAAATGCGCCTGCGCTCCCGGCTGGAGAGGCACTACGTGCGGCACGCCATGTGCTTCGGGCAGTTTCGGTCCCAGCTGCGCCAACAAGTGCAACTGCAACCTGCTGTGCACGCCTACATCATCGTGAGTACATCATGCGTACAGTAACTCCTACACTGCCGTCTCTCTCTCTCTCTCTCTCTCTCTCTCTCTCTCTCTCTCGCTCTCTCGCTCTCTCCGTGCATGCAGTACAGGGCCGTAGCTCGCATATCGCTGGTGTGGTGACTTTGTATCAGAGCACATCTGTAGTGTGGCGATCATGTACCACTGGCAACCTCACAGCCGCCAGTTTGCCTACTTTACCTATGTAGTACCGCTGACGGTCATTTGCTGGTGTGGGACAGTACTACGCTGACTATACACGAGCTACGCACCTGGGCAGCAATATAGCTTTAATTATGCGTGTATGCTTGTGTGTATTTCTCATTGTCCTGTACATGTCTGGAGTTCCTTTGAAAAGTACCTTTCCATTCATTGTTTTGGTCAAAGAGTCAGTTGAACCAAAGCTCATGGCGTACGAGTGGACGGTATCCGGCCTTGATGTTCTACAAGCCCCTGGCGGCAAGCAAAGTTGCCCGATATCTACTGCACTTGACGGTTAATGCTCGGAACACTCATCCTACAGAGTACACTTGCTCAGTTTAATCTGTTCTCTTGTATGCTGTAATGCCGGAGTTCCAGAGACGGGTTTGTTTAAACATACCCATGCTTCGGTGCATCCAGCATAGGACATAATAATGAATAAGACTTCAGGACTCTCCAGCACTTTGGCCCGTCGTACAATAAAGCTATACCGTGGTCTAATCAGGTATGTCCGTGTTTTCATTTGTGTGTGTGTGTGTGTGTGTGTGTGTGTGTGTGTGTGTGTGTGTGTACATACATGCGCGCGCTTATCGGTGTGCGAGTGTGTGTGTGTGTGTGTGTGTGTGTGTATTTGTGCACACACGTCTGTAAACTTCGTGCCACAGTTGTGACGCTAACCACTCCACCACCTTCGAGGCCGAGTCTGGTATCCTTGGACACTTCAAGCCGGCCCTGCTCACAACCGACTCGAGAGCTAGCGGCGGCAAATATCTTTTGGTCACTTCAAGCAACCAGTGGACTGCATCCAAGGCCCTCACCATTGCTAACTACACATTCTCGGTAAGACCATGATGCGAATACTAGTACATTGATCTTGGCTACACTGGTGATGTGCTGCCGCGGAAAGCTTCAGTAGAGGAGAACAAACATTGACTCTGTGTACTAGCACCTGCAAAACAGCATTATGGGTGAACTGGAACAGAGTGAGAGGTTGTGTGAACAAGGAAGCGCGACCGTGTGTATGGGAGAGGATGCTCAACGTTGCATATGAAAACATATGAGCTGGTGTGTGTTGCCTAATGAGCTAGTGTGTTGTCTCTCTGGCTTGGTCAGAAGCAGAAGGCCAGTTTTTGTCAAAGTACACGTATCGATCAGCCCATTGCACAATGACGAAATAATTTGTACCATACACACGCCGCACGGCCACCTGGGCACGGTCGTGTGGGCGTTGAACAACAGTGCACTGCTGATCCCAGCAAACTCACGTGCATTCCTCATGGAATCTGCATTTGGCAATGTGCAATGGGTTCATTCGGTTCTTCTCTCGGTGGTGTGTCTTACCTCCATT